GTGTGTGTGTGTGTGTGTATCTATTTCTATCTATTCATGCAATGAATATATATATATATATATATATTATATTCATACAATGAATATATATATATATATATATATATATATATATATATATATCAATCTATATCTATTCATACAATGAATATATATATATATATTCATACAATATATATATATGTGTGTGTGTGTATCTATCTATATTCATACATTGAATATATATATATATATATATATATATATATATATGTGTGTGTGTGTGTGTCTGTGTCTATCTCTATCTATTCATTCAATATAATATATATATATATATATATATGATTATATTCATATAATGAATATATATATATATATCTATATGTATCAATCTATATCTGTTCCTACAATGAATATATATATATATATATATATAAGTATGTATCTATCTATATCTATTCATACAATGAACATATGTGTGTGCGCGTGTGTGTGCGTGCGTATTCATTCATACAATGGCGTACATACACATTCAAACACAGCCATTTAGTTTTTTTGCCGAAATAATCCAGAAGCCTTGTATGTCTTTATTCGACATATTTCGATCTCTGTTCAACATTTTCTTCGTAGTAACTGATGCGACCAATAATTCTACTCATACAATTTTCTACTGTTCGATTTGTGAACCTCTTTATATATTACCCAAATCATTTCAAAGAAATTTATCTTAGTAAAAATATGATTCCAAATCAATAAATACCATCGGAATAGCCCATCATTACTACCACTGTTACTGCTAATACCCCTACTGCTACGTTTGCCATTACTATCACCAGAATTATCGATTATTTTTCATTTTTGAGATCTTTGAAATTTAGCGTCAGATCATCAACCCTCCTCTTAATCGATTTTGAGATCAATCAATGTCCAATTAAAGGAAAATCGTTTTCGATACGAACCATACTTTACGTATGTCTTCTATTCACGATTAAACAAAGCGAGAACATGCAAAATATCATGCAAACACATGAAACAGAGGCAGTTGCGTTGATATAGGCAAACGGATACTATGCAGGAGAAATAATACATGTGTAATGTATATATATATATATATATATATATATATATATATATATATATATAGATAGATAGATAGATAGAGAGAGTGAGAGAGAGAGGGGGGAGATGCACACACACACACACACACACACACACACACACACACACACACACATATATATATATATATATATATATATATATATATCAGGAAAGAATGACCAACACTGAAAGAGCCTGCCCAAAATAGTCAACTGGCATAAAAAAGACTGAATGCCATAAGAAATGGCAGAATTCAAGATTAATTCAAAAACCAGGTAGGCAGTGACTGTCCGCTACTTTACGTTTCCACACAATCTTCAGGTAGCCAGAAGGTTGTGTGCAAACCCATGAAACTTATAGTAGTGGTTTTTGAATTTTTATATCATGTGGTTTATATATATATATATATATATATATATATATATATATATATATATATTAAGTCGACTCCCCATGAAAAATTATTACCTGTAAAACAACATTTCCGCCTGGAAAAACATGACTTCAAAACCCATGCCAAATTCACTATAATTGAGAGAATAGAAAAGTTCAGAGCAGATAACATTAGAAAGATTTTAGAGTCCCATGAAAATAAGTGGATACAACGTTTAAAAACACGCTTTCCAGCCAGGCTAAACCACAAATTTAACAATATAGATAGTATTAATATATAAGTCAACAAATCAAAACCTACCCACATTTCTCACCCACACAAGACAGACGTGGTTACGGAGGTGTTGAGGCCTCACACTTATACACACACCCACACGAATATATACACACTTACACACATCATACTCACTCACTCCCTAATGAGCCAAATGATAACACACACCTACAGCAATACACATGCTTACACATATCATACTCACTCCCTTCCTAAGAACCAAAGAGCACACACACAAACACTAAACAGAGACACATCACCTCACCAGGTCCAATAAAACTGTGAAACTGACCAGAGAATTTCAGAGCAACATGTATCTGTCCAGCTCTTATCTCAAATAACAACTTAAAAAAGACTGTTTGACCAACACAAGGAATATTAAAATATTCATGTTAAAAAGATAAAAAAATAAACAAAACAAATGAAAACTACAGACAAATGTTCATTTTCTCCAGCAAGATATTAATTTCTGTAGTTCACTGCTACCAGCAAGCAGAAATATTTCTCCTCCCTGATGATGGCCATTTCGGTCGAAACTAGTCAGGGAATCTAAATGGAATTATTAATAAAAAAAACGAAAGAATATTAATCTACAAACCCAGTGTGTCTAAAGATTTTAATTTTTTTTTTTTTATTGTTCAATATATATATATATATATATATATATATATATATATATATATATATATATATATATATATATATATATATATATATATATATATATATATATATATATATATATATATATATATATATATATGTGTGTATGTGTGCATATATATATATACACACATATATATGTCTGTGTGTTCATACATATGCATATATATGTGTATGTGTGCATATATATAATATATATATATATATATGTATATGTATGTGTGCATATATATAATATATGCATATATATATGTGCATATATATAATATATACATATATATGTATATGTATGTGCATATATTTAATATATACATAAATATGTGTATGTATGCATATATATAATGTATACATATATGTGTATGTATGCATATATATAATGTATACATATATGTGTATGTATGCATATATCTATAATATATACATATATATAAGCGTCTGTGTGTGTGTTGACTACAAATAGCTCTGAATGATCTATGAATTGCACTCAAAAACCTGATCTCTTTTTTTCTGTACACCGAATACTTTGTTGCTCCAAGGTTTGCCAACTTCCAAAATAAATTGGACTGCAAGAAAAATAAAACGAAATATATTGAAAGGAAATAGTGGAGATCCATAGGCTGACCCTGCCACCATTTCCTAACACAGTGGCTGACAAAAATGGTTTTCTCTTGTTATCACCTGTCAGCCCCCAAGTGTTCTAATTGAAGAGATTGCGAATGACTTTCTTCTCTCCTGAAGTTGAATTTCCGATAGAAATTACTTGCCAGAACCTGAAATGATATATTTTTGTAATGATAATGTGTAAATAAGTGATTTCCATGAATTTTAGAATTCATTGACCCAACGGCTAGTACTCTGTCGGTTGAAGTTTATGAAATCTTTTCCCTTCAAACAGTAAATTAAACTGTAAATTAAACTGTAAATTAAATTTTTCGTTTTCAGAGATTCCGCTCTTTAGATAGATGATAAGAGTTTCCTTCCAAGCGTCATCTTATCTTGAATTGGCAAGATTTAAAAACAACAACTTCATAGATATCTACCGCTTCCAAAATCACATCTACTATAAATTTGTATATGAGGAGGATGCTTAAAGTAAACAAACTACCAACGCATGTACGTATAGATAAACACAAGAAATCTCAGTAATAACAGCCAACATTAAAATAATCAATAAAAAATAAGTTAACTAACTACACTAAAAATAAGAAAAAAAACTGATTTCGTATTCAATATTTTCCCACTCAGTAACACGCAGAATAATTCAAAAAGCTTGAAGTCACATCAAAATAAACGTTAGAATATTCCAATAGATTACCCACGATACATCACTATATATATATATATATATATATATATATATATATATATATATATATATATATATAAGAAGATTTGAAATAATCATAATTAAGTAATTCATCGAGTCTACAAGAAACCTCAACAGAATGCAGAAAGCACTGGACTGTTTCGACGGGCCTCAGTGACGAGGTAACGAATTAGCGCTCGAGTCTATGTCGTGACCTCTTGGCCACCGAGGTCCGTGGTATTGTTGGTATGCCGTTTGCCACCTATCGTAACTGTTCGTGTTTCAATTCTCTGTAGTGGATGCGTACTCCTGATGAGACCCAAATATAGGACGAAACGGCAGTCCAGTGCTTTGTGCATTCTGTTGAGGTTTCTTCTAGACTCGTGAATTAATTAATTATAATATAAATATGATTACTTAATTATGATATATATATATATATATATATATATATATATATATATATATATATATATATATATAAACAAAAAGAGGGGGAGGGAGAGATAACACACAGCTTATATGCTAAAGGTTGCGTTTAATATGAAACCGACTGTCGATTCTGTGTTGACTTCAATATCATTACATACGCTCTATCATTGATATATGCAACATTTCAACCCATAAATATAGCGTACATTAAAATATATTTTATCACACACACTTGCATATATATATATATATATATATATATATATATATATATATATATATATATATATATATATATAAGAATGGTGTTATGCAAGTGTAGAACAAATTGTAAGAATTCTGTGTAACTCATTTCGTCCTTTCGATATGATTTACGTGCAGATTTTTAAGACATTTCATCTTTCTAGGCAGACTATTGATTCAATATTTTATCGTCCGTTGTAAATATACCGTTTCTGATTTCAACATAATGTTATAGTTAAATATATTTTTATATTTTTAAGTTAATTTATCCATTTCATGTAGTTCTTCGGTCGATGACTTTAGCAATTCGCTATATATATATATATATATATATATATATATATATATATATATATATATATATATATATAACAAATATAATAAAACAAATATATAAGAAAAATGTTCGATGTAAAATATAAACAACATCTAAACAGAGCCAAAATAAGAAATGTAAATTGACGATACTCAAATATTATTGATTTTTCGTGACTTAAAGTTTTATGTGAACTCTACTTGATAAAACATGTTGACAAATGGACGGTGTGGATATTATGATAAGATGGCTATCAAGTAGGTAGATAGATAAACATGTGAACAACGATGAAATTTTAAAGAAAACGGAAACAAAAACTACCCTTATATTTAAATCCAGAAAGAGAATGTTGAAATTTCTAGGGAAAGATGGCTTGGAAAATTTGACACTCACAGGTAAAAAACACAGAGGATAAAAAACGTCTAACCTACCGAGATAGCTTGAATAGAGCGATGGCAGTACAGAGAGAGTGAGTGAGAAAAAGTGAATTCGGAAAAGAAAAACTAGACTTGATGTAGGTAAAAAATATATGTTTTTTTTCTTTTCTTCTTCTTCTTCTTCTTCTTCTCCTTCACAGCTTCTTATCCTTTGTAGTTCTGTAGATACTGATAATACCATATGCGAAATACGTTAATAATGAGGAACTTTTGAAGCAAAAGAAGACAAAAAAGAAACTTGATCCAAAAATAGGAAAGAGACTTTTGAATATTCTGGGACACACGGTGAGGAAAGAGGGCTTAGAGAAATTAAGACTCACATAGCAGAATCAAGAGTAGCAGATAGAGATATTCAAGCAACCTACTTAACGCATATATATTAATGAACGGTAGGAAAAAATTAGCGATATAGTAAGTGGACAAACATTGTAAAGAACTACAAAGGATAAGAAGCTGTGAAGAAGAAGAAGAAGAAGAAGAAGAAGAAGAAAAATTGTGAAGAAAAAATTGTAAAACAGAAGTTGCGAAGAAGAAGTAGAAATTATGAAGAAGTTGTGAAGAAGTTTTGAAGATGAAGTTGTGAAGAAGTAGTTGTGAAGAAGAAGAAGTTGTGAAGAAGAAGAAGTTGGGAAGAAGAAGAAGTTGTGAAGAAGAAGAAGTTGTGAAGAAGAAGAAGTTGGGAAGAAGAAGAAGTTGTGAAGAAGTAGTTGTGAAGAAGAAGTTGTGAAGAAGAAGAAGTTGTGAAGAAGAAGAAGTTGGGAAGAAGAAGAAGTTGTGAAGAAGAAGAAGTTGGGAAGAAGAAGAAGTTGTGAAGAAGTAGTTGTGAAGAAGAAGAAGTTGTGAAGAAGAAGTTGTGAAGAAGAAGAAGTTGTGAAGAAGAAGAAGTTGTGAAGAAGCAGAAGTTGTGAAGAAGAAGAAGTTGGGAAGAAGAAGTTTGGGAAGAAGAAGAAGTTGTGAAGAAGAAGAAGTTGTGAAGAAGTTGAAGAAGTTGTGAAGAAGAAGAAGTTGTGAAGAAGAAGAAGTTGGGAAGAAGAAGAAGTTGTGAAGAAGAAGTTGTGAAGAAGAAGAAGTTGTGAAGAAGAAGAAGTTGTGAAGAAGAAGAAGTTGTGAAGAAGAAGAAGTTGTGAAGAAGAAGAAGTTGTGAAGAAGAAGAAGTTGTGAAGAAGCAGAAGTTGTGAAGAAGAAGAAGTTGGGAAGAAGAAGTTGTGAAGAAGAAGAAGTTGTGAAGAAGAAGAAGTTGTGAAGAAGAAGAAGTTGTGAAGAAGAAGAAGTTGGGAAGAAGAAGTTGGGAAGAAGAAGAAGTTGTGAAGAAGAAGAAGTTGTGGAAGAAGAAGAAGAAGTTGAAGTGTGAAGAAGAAGAAATTGTGAAGAAGAAGAAGTTGGGAAGAAGAAGAAGTTGTGAAGAAGTAGTTGTGAAGAAGAAGAAGTTGGGAAGAAGAAGAAGTTGTGAAGAAGAAGAAGTTGTGAAGAAGAAGAAGTTGTGAAGAAGAAGTTGTGAAGAAGAAGAAGTTGTGAAGAAGAAGAAGTTGTGAAGAAGCAGAAGTTGTGAAGAAGAAGAAGTTGTGAAGAAGAAGTTGGGAAGAAGAAGAAGTTGGGAAGAAGAAGAAGAAGTGAAGAAGTAGTTGTGAAGAAGAAGAAGTTGTGAAGAAGAAGAAGTTGTGAAGAAGAAGAAGTTGTGAAGAAGAAGTTGGGAAGAAGAAGAAGTTGTGAAGAAGAAGAAGTTGTGAAGAAGAAGAAGTTGGGAAGAAGAAGAAGTTTTGAAGAAGAAGTTGGGAAGAAGAAGAAGTTGGAAAGAAGAAAGAAGAAGAAGTTGTGAAGAAGAAGAAGTTGGGAAGAAGAAGAAGTTGTGAAGAAGAAGAAGAAGTTGTGAAGAAAGAAGAGGTTGGGAAGAAGAAGTTGTGAAGAAGAAGAAGTTGTGAAGAAGAAGAAGTTGGGAAGAAGAAGTTGAAGAAGAAGAAGTTGGGAAGAAGAGAAAAGAAGTTGTTGGGAAGAAGAAGAAGTTGTGAAGAAGAAGTTGTGGAAGAAGAAGTTGTGAAGAAGAAGAAAGAAGAAGTTGGAAGAAGAAAGAAGTTGGGAAGAAGAAGAAGTTGTGAAGAAGAAGTTGTGAAGTTGAAGAAGAAGAATAAGTTGGGAAGAAGAAAAGTTGGGAAGAAGAAATTTGGTTGTGAAGAAGAAGAAGTTGTGAAGAAGAAGAAGTTGGAAGAAGAAGAAGTTGGGAAGAAGAAGAAGTTGTGAAGAAGAAGAAGTTGTGAAGAAGAAGAAGTTGGGAAGAAGAAGAAGAAGAAGAAGTTGGAAGAAGAAGAAGTTGGGAAGAAGTTGTGAAGAAGAAGAAGTTGTGAAGAAGAAGAAGTTGAAAGAAGTTGTGAAGAAGAAGAAGTTGAAGAAGAAGAAGAAGAAGTTGTGAAGAAGAAGAAGTTGTGAAGAAGAAGAAGTTGTGAAGAAGAAAGAAGTTGAAGAAGAAGAAGAAAGAAGAAGAAGTTGGGAAGAAGAAGAAGTTGTGAAGAAGAAGAAGTTGTGAAGAAGAAGAAGTTGGGAAGAAGAAGAAGTTGGAAGAAGAAGAAGAAGAAGTTGTGAAGAAGAAGAAGTTGTGAAGAAGAAGAAGTTGTGAAGAAGAAGAAGTTGGGAAGAAGAAGAAATTGAAGAAGAAGAAGTTGGGACGAAAGAAGAAGTTGTGAAAAAGAAGTTGTGAAGAAGAAGAAGTTGAAGAAGAAGAAGTTGTGAAGAAGAAGAAGTTGTGAAGAAGAAGAAGTTGGGAAGAAGAAGAAATTGTGAAAGAAGCAGAAGTTGTGAAGAAGAAGAAGTTGTGAAGAAGAAGAAGTTGGGAAGAAGAAGAAGAAGTTGTGAAGAAGAAGAAGTTGGGAAGAAGAAGAAGTTGTGAAGAAAAACAAGTTGTGAAGAAGAAGAAACTTTCTAGTTCTTTAAGGCTTTATGTTCTAAACATTTTTGGCTTCATTCCTTCTTTGTTTAACGGCAGAAACTTTTATTAAGCTACGTTATTTGCTGTCAGTTGGAAATTTCCTTTCTACCGTGAAAGCTTCATGGCCGCCATTCCCCTAAAAACCTTGTCTGTTTTCACTTGGTTGCCATTAAATTCTGCTTCTTTTCTCCAGCTTATTTACTTTTGTGGTTTCAACATTTTTTTATGTCGACGCAAGTCCTTCTCCAGCGGCCAATTCAAACAAAACTCTGGAACTGTTTTCTTTTCAAAGTTCCGTCTTGCACCGAAAAGCAACAGATTTAATTTGATGTCTTACAATTTGAAAGCAAAAAAAAAAGGATGGATAAAAAGAAAACAACTTTGGAATACAGGATGGAAATAATGCAGCACTGGAGGAAAATCGGGTGATGAAAATAATATAGACAAAAGCAAAAAGGAAAAGCATATGTGGCTGTGGAAATGTAAGAAATACAAAATACTTCAATGTTAAAATAGCAAGGATGTAAGAATGTAAAAGGAAAAAATGGAAAGAAAGAAATAAACGAATAGGAAGAAATTTTTTTAAAAAATCAACAAATAAAATAGGAAAAAATGAAGGGAAATAAAAGATGAAGAAGTAAATGAATGAAAACGACAAATAAAATTTGAAAATGTATGGAAAAATACAAAGTTGAAGAAAATGAATGAAAATTTGAAAGAGAAAAACAGGAGGAAAAAATAAAGAAGGGAAAGGAAAGTATAAAAATTCGGAAAAGGTGAAAGAACTACGAAAAAGAAAATGAATGAAAAAATAACTTGAAATAGAAAAAAAGAAGGAAAAAAACAAAGAAGAAAAAGAATGAAAACTATAAAAATTAGGAAGAAATGAAGGAACTAAGGGAAAAACAGAAGAAAAAAGAAAGAAGAAAATGAAGAATAAACGCGGGAAAAAGGATCTAAAGAGAAGACAATGAATGAAAATTAAAAAAAAAATAAAGTAGGAAAAGAGAAGAAAATAAATGAAAATTAAAAAAAAAAAACACTTGCAAAATGTATATAAATAAAATATACGAAAATGAGAAGAAAACGATCCAGGACGAAGAAAATGAATTAGGAAAAAAAAAATGAATAAATTTTGAGGGAATGGATGAAAACTACAAATAAAAATAAGCAAGAAGGACTGAAAAGAAACAAATGAATAAAAACATTAAAAAAATTCGGAAAACATGAGAAAAAGAAACTAAGATGATGAAAATGAAGGAAAATAACAAATAAAATAGGAAAGAGAGGCGAAAGGAATGAAAGAGGACGAACGAAGATTTTACAAGTTAAGAAAATGAACAAGGTTGAAGAAAATGAATAAAAACTACAAAAAAAAAACAATAGGATAAAAAGAGGAAAAGAAAGAAAGATGTCGAAAATGAATGGAGACTTTAAACAGGAAAAAGTTATAAAATTAGCCAGGTTGAAGAAAATGAATGAAAACTAAAAATAAAATAGGTAAAGGGGAGGTAACGTCACCAAGGGAAAGAGAATAAATGCAAACTACAAAGATATAGAGAAATTGGAAGATAATACAACAAAAGAAAAAAAAGTGAGGGAATTCTGTGAGCAGCAGCGAACAAAAATAAAAAAAATAAAAAGGGAGGCAAAGACAAAGAAAATAATTGAAATATACGAACAGAAGGAAAATGAAAGAAAATAAACTAAAATAAAAGTGGATAAAAAAAATACAAATAAACAGGACAAAGCTACAAAGAGAAGCATTTCAGTTGCGAAGTGCTAAATGGTTATCGCGACTTAGTGATATAGTTACAAAAGATTCGAAGCAGAAAAAAAAAAAAAATTAAAGAATAAACGGGGGAAAAAAAAAAATCAAAGAACATAGAAGCAAAGGAGAAATGCTAACACAAAAGAAATAAAAAAAAAAAATGAACATTTAAAAAAAAAAAAAAATAACAGTGTGGAATAGTAAATAAAAAAAAGTAGTCCGGGGAAAAAAAGAAACACGTATCAATTGTAAAAGAAAACGCGAAGAGAAAAATCCTGACAAACGATCACCTTCGGTAGACAAACGAACTACCTACATCAACCAGCGTATGCTATTGAATTATTGCAATATAATGTTGAACCTAGCGTAAACTACTAGAATCAATTTCATACCTACATTGAAATGTACGAACAAATGTTTTCAAAGTCACACAAATGCATTCACTGCTTTTCGGATATTTCTGAACAGGCACACTACGCCTGGAGTCGTTTTTCATTCGCAAATCGCTTACAGCGAACTGAACAGACGTGCAAATGGAACTCTGAACTTACAAACCTATTCTTTTCATAAAAAGTGCAAGAAAGAAGAAGAAGAAAAAAAAAAAAGCGCACCAGTGTCGAGGCGTTTCTCGTTTATGAGCACCCAGCTAATCACAGTCAGCGATTGATGAGTTTAAATTTTCTTTTTCTTCCTTGCTTTCCATTCGAAGATTTGTTTTTTTTGTTTTTTTGTTTACTTACGTCTTTATTCGTTGCTACGTTATCGGGTAAGGTAATTGTTTGGCTATGCAACGGCTTACAATGTCGTACAGAAAATAGGGTGAATGACACGAAACATTACAAAATAACTGTCAAATTTGTGGACGACTTGATAGACTGTGACAAAAGGCTACCGATACAGAAACGCTACACTCAACACGTGAGATCCGTCACACGAGTTCACTACCTATCAGCCTATATTGATAAATAATGACATATTGCTATATATATATATATATATATATATATATATATATAGATATATAGATAGAGAGAGAGAGAGAGAGAGAGAGAGAGAGTAAATAAGAGAAGTTTGATAGAGAGTAAATGAGAGGAGTGCGATAGATAGAGAGTAAATAAGGGGAGTTTTATAGTAAATAAGAGGAATTTGATAGAGAGTAAATAAGAGGGGTGAGGTAGATAGCGAGTAAATAAGAGGAGTGAGTTAGATAGAGAGTAAATAAGATAGAGAATAAATAAGAGGAGTGAGGTAGATGTGAGTAAATAAGAGGGGTGAATAGATAAGATTAAATAAGAGGGGTGAGGTAGATAGAGAGTAAATAAGAGGGAGTGAGGTAGATAGAGAGTAAATAAGAGGAGATAGATGAGAGTAAATAAGAGGGGTGAGGTAGATAGAGAGTAAATAAGAGGGGTGAGGTAGATAGAGAGTAAATAAGAGGAGTGAGGTAGATAGAGAGTAAATAAGAGGGGTGAGGTAGATAGAGAGTAAATAAGAGGAGTGAGTTAGATAGAGAGTAAATAAGAGGGGTGAGGTAGATAGAGAGTAAATAAGAGGGGGAGGTAGATAGATAAATAAGAGTAAATAAGAGGTAAGAGGTTGAGGTATAGAGAGTAAATAAGAGGGATGAGGTAGATAGAGAGTAAATAAGAGGGAGGTAGATAGAGAGTAAATAAGAGGAGTGAGTTAGATAGAGAGTAAATAAGAGGGGTGAGGTAGATAGAGAGTAAATAAGAGGAGTGAGGTAGATAGAGAGTAAATAAGAGGGGTGAGATAGATAGAGAGTAAATAAGAGGGGTGAGGTAGATAGAGAGTAAATAAGAGGGGTGAGGTAGATAGAGAGTAAATAAGAGGGGTGAGGTAGATAGAGAGTAAATAAGAGGGTGAGGTAGATAGAGAGTAAATAAGAATAATAGAGAGTGAATAAGAGGGTAGATAGATAGATTAAATAAGAGGGGTGAGGTAGATAGGTAAGATAGATAGAGATTAAATAAGATAAGAGGGTGAGGTAGATAGAGAGTAAATAAGAGGGTGAGGTAGATAAGAGAGAGGAGGTAAATAAGAGGGTAAGATAGATAGAGAGTAAATAAGAGGGGTAGATAGAGAGTAAATAAGATAGATGAGAGTAAATAAGAGGAGTGAGGTAGATAGAGAGTAAATAAATAAGAGGTGAGGTAGATAGAGAGTAAATAAGAGGGGTGAGGTAGATAGATGAGGAGTGAGGTAGATAAATAAGAGGGGTGAGGTAGATAGAGAGTAAATAAGAGGAGTGAGGTAGATAAGAAATAAGAGGGGTGAGATAGATAGAGGTAAATAAGAGGGAGAGAGTAAGATAGAGAGAAATAAGATAGATAGATAGAGTAAATAAGAGGGTGATAGGTAAATAGATAGAGAGTAAATAAGAGGGTGAGGTAGATAGAAAGTAAATAAGAGGAGGAGGTAGATAGGTAAATAAGAGAGTTAGATAAAATAAGAGGGGGGAGGTAGATAGATAAATAAGAGGGGTGAAATAGAGAAAATAAGAGGAGGTAGATGAGATAAATAAGAGGAGAGATAGATAGAAATAAATAAGAGGGGTGAGGTAGATAGAGAGCAAATAAGAGGGGTGAGGTAGATAGAGAGTAAATAAATAGATAGATAGTGAGGTGAGGTAGATAGAGAGTAAATAAGA